AAGATATATTCCTACTGTTTATTTGAAAGTGTTTTGCTAGAAGTAGTTGTACTTTAATTACAACTAAACTTTAAACAATTTCCTCAAACTTAGTAGAGAGCCTCTTTTTGCTCAAAAATTGCTTGACCAGGGTTAGAAATCAGCAGTGCTTAGCATCTTCAGTGCATTTTACAAAATGGGGAACATAAATATAAAGATACTGCTTGATTTTGCTTGATTTTTGTCCTTAAATCTAAAGAATCAATTTATTAACTGCACTTTTTACTTTTAATATTTAAGGATATATTTTTTGCCAGAGAATTGATCAAAGTGATTATTCTGACCATACACAGAAGACAACCAAGGATGAGCTACTGAATTTATTAAAAACTATTGATAAGGATCCAAAATTGCCTGCCAAAGAGAAGAAAAAATTGTTAGGTCAATTTTATAAGTGTCACCCAGACATCTTTATTGAATATTTTGGAGACTGAGTTTCTAATGTCTGTATATAATTTGTGTATTTTAAGCGTTATGTATCCTAAAGATCCAATCACATTTGTAATTTTGAATGTTCTTCTAAATATGAAACTCTACTTAATAAAACTTTTTTTTGGTATAACCTTTTGTGTCTGAAACTGAGTTATTAGATGGTATATTGCTGTTGAGTATTGACCTCTCTTAGGTGAGCTGATAATTGTGCACAATACATTATTAGAACATCATAGGAATTTAATGATATATTATAGTGTTTACATAAGTATTAAACAATGATCTCCATAATTATAAATCAATAGGAGTGTGGTTTGTATCTTAACAGGTTTCCTTACTGATACACGATTTGATGAATTCGCTAATTACCATAAACTGTAGACAAGTCAGAAACTGAACTTTCCTAATGCTTTTGAAAACTTTACCATCCTTTAAAACTTATTGTGGAAAATTCCAAATAATATATATGGAGAATAGAATATTGAACTCGCATGCACTTACCCAGTTTCAACAACTGTCAGCTCATGGCCAGTCTTGTTTCATCTGTACCCCCACCCATTCCTTGGTCTCACCCCAGCAAATTTCAGACATCTTATAACTTCACCTATACATTTCAGTATGTTTGACTAAAAGATATGAATATTGAAAACATAACCACAGTATCACACATACACAGACCCACAATTCCTTAATATCATCAAATGTGCGGTCAGTGTTCAAATTTTCTCATCTTAAATGATTTTGACAGTTTATTGAAATAGGGATCCAACTTAGGTCCAAAACTTGCAATTGGTTAATGTGCTTCTTAAGTCTCTTTTAATCTATAAGTTCTTTGCTTTATTCCTCCTCTTTTACTCTCACATTTCCCCTCCCCACCCTCCCTCTTAGCCTGGTCACTAGTTCATATCTGTTCATGTCATGTATTTCTTGGTCATTAGAGCTAAAATCTTTAACATCTTTTCATCCATGTTAATAATTATTTTGGAACTACTGGACTGTCAAGATATATTTAGTAAATATACAAGCAATAAAATACAATTTGAAGTTGTTCAACCTTACAATAAAACCAACAACTTAAAACAAGACTGAACTTCATCTGTTTAAACTTACACCTTTAATGAAAGGTAGGGGAAACTAAAATGATGCACCAATATGCTATATGTCAAATATTTTTTAAGATATAATTGATAGTCTTTACACGGGAGAAATTCGTAACTTCATGTGGGCTTTTTGTTTGCGTATGCAAGAAGGGAAGGCAGCTCTTTTTACAATGAAGTGAAATGAAAGAGAAGATAATTCATGGTTTAAACGTGATGAAGTTTTCAGAAACAAACTACTTCAAGTGGTGAGACCATAGTTGGCAGAGCAACTGTGTGTGCGCTACCTGACTTGCAACCTTTATTTCGCACATATTCAAATGGCATGATTATTTGGTAGCCAAAACTAACACCTCTCCTTCAGGGCAAGGGAGAACTAGATGCCTAATTATATTCACAGTCCTAGAAAAAAAACAGCATTCTAATAATTTCATGGAAAGTCTAGTAAAACCACAGTTGACCTCAAACTTCATAAGAATAGGATCAAGTTTTCAGAAATACCGGTCATGTTTACTGCAAGCACTGTCAGTAGCACCCCGAATGCCTTGGCAACCCTTCTGTATCAGAACTGTCAAATCATTTGCTGTGTGCCCTCATTCACTCAGAATGCCCTCCTGGGGACCCATCCCCACTTATACACCTGATTTGCAGGTGTCTGTAAGACTCACCACTAACCTAGCTGAGACAGCCTACCTGTCAAATGAGAGAGACTTTGCACAAAATTATCTTGGCCAATCAAATTCTGTATATGAAATCTAAACTATGAGGGAACAACAACTAAGAAAACAAACCAGTCTGTAGTGCAGAGAGAGGAGTGAAGCACACCGCAGCAAGAAGCAGAGATGTGATGAGAGATCCTGTGTGACTTGAGATGATAGAGGAGTACTGATCTCCAGGGCAGCTGCCAGCTTTCTCCTCCCAAGCCCTATGCAGCCTTGTAGTGAACTCCCTTTACTTTGAGGCAATTTGAGTTTCTAGTCTTTGCAGCCAAAACTGAAACATGTGTCAGTAGGTTTTTAATATTTAAAGGAAACAACTTAGAATATATCAAAATGTTACAAGGCATTCCAAGTCCAATCAGTAGTTTTTGTATTGTCACAGTGTCCTCTCCACATGTCAAAATTGTTTATATGAATCCAAAGAAGGTAGGGCACTCTCACTAGGGGCCTGGAGGTAGGAGGTGGATCTTGCTAGGAAGGTGATTCTAGTCTGGCTATATCTTAGAATCACCTGGGAAGCTTAAAAATTCTTGCCTGGTATCACCCACCCTCCCACACCAAGTTAAGATGATAGTTTTAGACTGTCCCCAGAAGATTCTAAGGTGTAGTCAGGGTTGAGAACCACTAATATGGAGACTCTATGGTACATCAACCTGGACTCAGACCTGAGAACTGAATGTTTGTGAATCTTAGTTCCAGTTAGTTGAGTATCTTAAGGGTTTTTTTCCTCTTAGTGAATACTCATCTGAGGACGTATATGTGTATTTAGGGAAAAATAATGTGCTACTTAGCAAATGGCTTGAGGGTGTTGTATTGCATTCTTAGCCTTCAGTATGCCAGCAATAACTGCTCACACGTGATCTATTTAGTGGCATTTGAAAGCACCAATTTCACTCCATCTTGTTCTAATTCATTAGGTGAAAGACAATTACTACCTTATTTTGTTTAAGGCACATGTGATTTATGTTCAGCCTTAAAGTATTCCTTACAAATGAGCAGTAAGGAATTACACACCTTTTACTTTTTAAGATTAGGCACAAAAACTAGTCATGTTTGCTATCTTACTGCTAGAAGGGGGGAAGCATGGCTTCCTTGGAATAGCCCCATGATCATTTCTACTCCCACTACCTGAGATGGAGGAGAACAAAGCTCCAAAATGAGCTTGTCCTAACATAGTTTTCCTTTCTAGAATTCAGATGGAATATACGCTCCGCGGGCTCCCTGTGTTTATGGACTACCTAACCCGAGCTGAACCCTTGTGGAATTGTTTGCCCCCTGGCCTTCAGTCTTTTCAGGGCTAAAATCTTGGCTCTTCCCATTCACAAAGTGTAACAGCCACTTACATCTAAGAGATGACCCCCCCAAACCAAACCTCATCTGTGCCATGAAAGCTGTTACCAGACAGGAGGCCTGGCCCTGAGTGCGTGAGCCTAGGGCTAATGCGTAGAGTGTGGGTTCTTGATTTCATGAAAGAAAGATTTCCCCCAGGTGCCTTACAAGGGAACATTGATTAAAGCTGGACATGTAAATAAGGAAGGGCTTAGCACAGAAGCAGCAACAGGAGAGCCTAGGCTGGGCTGCCTTAGCTCTCAGAGAAAAGGGGGCAATCAGAGAAAAGGGGGCTTTGGGGACAGGTTCAAGGGAGTAGCCTGGGACAAGGTGCCACTGCCCCTTGCTCCTCTGGTTGCAACTATTGTGGCGACCCTTTGATTTTAGGAGCAACATGCCTGTTGGGGAAGAAGAGTGGGAAGAAAGGGAAGAGAATGGCGCCGGCTGGGTCTTTCGTCTTTGAGTTTTTCTCTCTCTCACTTGCAGGGGGTAATCTTAGGAGAGGTCTTAGGAGAGGAGGATTCCAGAAAATATCTGTTTTCCAGGTGTGCTCTTTAAGGGTTGCGGTCTCCACTGACGGGTCAGTGCCAGGGAGGGGGTCCTTGGTCATTGCAGCTGGTCCTGGTGTTACCCACCTGGTTTTGCTGCTTTTCTGGGCCTGGAGCTGAAATACAGCTGAGGCCTAGATGTTATCTGGGGGGATGGGGGTGGGGTTGGGTTAGGGGGGTGACCTCCACCTGTACTTGGCTGTAAATGGTTTGGCCAGTTTGTTTAGCTGTTTCCTTATTCACTTACCAAGGAATTTTCCTAGCTTCTCACTGTCCTGCCTCAACGCCTGGCCATCCACGCAGTGGCCATCACTTCTTTTAACAGCCCAAATGAGGGGAGAGGAATATAAAGTATGTGCACCTATAACACATGTTACACACATGAAGTAACATTTAAATTTGAAAACCTGGGCAGGAAGGCTTTGAACCCGGTTCGGAGAAGAGACCTGTCCTTTTCCCTCGCTTGCCAGACGCTGCACCGCCTCTACCTCACGCTCCTTTCCAACCAAACGCCCGCCTTTCCGTACGGAAACATGGCGCCTCCCAATCGGAGCCCCGCCTCCCGCCTTTGCGTACGGAATCATGGCACCTCCCCCACATGGGGCTTGCACCTGCTAGTTAACCACTGCCTCCCTTCCCGCCGCTGAGGAGCGACCCCGCCGGCCGCTACCCACCAGAGCCCAGTCCGGGGCACGGCCCGCTGCGGGCGAGGGACGCGGCCTCTGCGGGGCAGAAGGCGAACCTCCAAGCCCGCCGCGCAGCGCTCCCCGCCGCCACCGCGGCGCTGCCCCGCCTCATTCCCCGCCCCAGCGGCAGCACGGAGAGCGCCGACTCCGCGGCAGGTGAGGGCAGCGGGCACGGAGGCTGGAAGCACGAGGTGGAAATCACTGGCAGTTCTCGGCCCTCTTCTCCCGTCGAGTCTGGCCCGGGTGATGTCGGGTGGAGGCGAGGAAGAGGCAGGTACGGCGGGCGGGTTTAGCGCGGCTTTGGTCCCACCCCCCGAGGCCGTCCTCCGGGCGCGCCCCGCGTCCGCCGCCGGCTCCCGGCGGGGCCACTCCCTCCCCGGCCCAAACAGTTGTTTACGACAGCATCTGGACGCTGGGAGAGAGCGGCGCTGAGGGCCGGAGAAAGCGATCTCGGCGTCGGTGGACGGAGCCCCTTTATTTTGCTGAAAGGCCCTTTCTGCTGCGGAGTCTCTAGTGTCCCGCTTGGGCCCGGCGTGAAGCTCAGATATACGTGTTCACGGCAAGTGCGAGGATCCTCCTACTCTCGGTTCCCTTTTTAGGCGTAGCAGGAGTTGGTGATTGTTGAATGAATGAGCACGCTGTAAGTAATTAAATGCATCCTGTAGCCCTGTAACTATAAGTACCAGTTGTGTGCCATGTGTTGTTATGCACGCTCTATCGTTTAAACTCCCCCCGCGCCCCCTGCCCCCCCCCCCCCACTGAAGAGGTGCAGGTTAGCTGCATCTTAGAGATGAGGATCCTGAAGTTCCCAGCTAGTAGAGAGCCAGAGTTGGAACCCGTGCATGTCTGGGACCAACTCCCGTCCCTCCCCAATACACCGACATCACAGAGATGACACAGCTGTCAACGTCCCAAATGGGTATCTGTTTGGGGGATATTCTTATAGGTGTGGAGCCTGTGGAGGAGAATATGGTTGGTCTTGGCCCTTAAGTTAAAAATCTAGGTGAAGAGTTTTGTTTTGTTTTGTTTTAAATAAAAACTAGCCATTTTACAATCTGACCCTAACCCATCTTTTCATCTTCAGCACCTGCCACTTGTTTTTCTGCTCACTTTCGGGCCTCGCCTTGTGCTCTTTGAGTGAAGTGCCCCTCTTTTTACCGCCTCTCCCCTTCCAGACTTTTTTTTTAATTGGATGAAATCCTACTCTTTTCAAAAAGTCCAGCTCAAATGTCCCCTTTTCTGGGAAGGCTATTCCAACATCTTCCAGGCAGAATTAGTTTCTCCCTCTGCTATATTTCCTTAGTGATTTCATAATGCTATTAAGGCTTACGTTTCCCTGTGTTTCCGTGTAAAAATGTCTGTCTCTCCCTCTAGACCATGCCTTTTCTTCTTTCTATTACTATTCAATAAGGGTATTTTGAATTGGATTTAGGGCAATGATGAATGCCAGATGTCTAGTAACCAGTCCTACAGGAGTTCAGAGAAAGGTGCAAATACTGCCGAGGATGGGGAAGTGTCCTGGGAGGAGCTTGGACCTGAGCCGATATTAAAAGGATGGGTTAGTTTACTTAGCTGAGTATTAGAGATCTGGGAAGCCTGCCTTTCCTCTTCACTGCACAGAATGAATTACTTCATCCTTTCTGAGCTCATTCCCAGCATGTGAAGAGGATAAATTTAGAAGTGTTTTTGTGCGTCCTTTCTTATAGGATGTGCTGGTAATGTTATCGTTTGGATCTTGGAGCATTTCCAGAGGCAAATAGGATTTAGGACAGAGAGGAGATGGATGTCTGGAGTGAGATGCCGGAAGTTAAAGGGAAACTGCTTTAAAGCAATCTTCATGTTAATAATACAGACCTGAAAATGTAAATTCCAGTAATTTCATTCTATTTAATGGAGGTATCTAAAATTTTATATGATTACATCAAGTGATTCTTCTCTAATGTTCAGAAAAGAGTCTACCAAACCTTCCCAAAGCAGTCGACATTGTTTTGGATCCCTGGATTATCTCCCAGGTGTGTGATAAAGTCTAATTAGAGTTTATTAAAGTGTTTTGTGATCTTCAAGTGCTAATAGCACAAATACTAATTTTTTCAGTAGTGTAAATGCAGGAACATTACATCTTTCTTTTCTCTTAATTGGAAACACCTTAGCATAGAGACCCCTAAAACTAGGGGGTAAGGGCGGGGCTAGCCAAGGGTGGGAACAACTTGGCAAAAACTTATACAGTAAATAAGAGATTACTATTCCAGACCTTTATTTATTGGCCCAAACCAGCGTGTTATTTCTATTCTAATGGGCAACTGAAAAAATTAAAGCCCCACCCAACCACACATATTATGGTTATTTCCAACTTCCTGCTTTAGTCACCATCTTTTTTTGCTGACTGGCAAGGAATTAATAAAACTATTTGCCCCACACATTCTTTTTAAATGCTTCATAAAATTCTACCTTCTGTCTGTCATCGCCAGGTGTCCTATTCACAGAATGAGATCGGGAAGCCAATGCCCCAGCTCACTGTGTTCACTGGCTCCCAACATTCACTTGGGAGCCTGATTAAAAGCATTATTTCCAAAGTTTTCCTACCAGCACTCAGGAATGAAAGTAAAGAATTTAAAAATTGAATCAGTCTTTGAATTAAAATATAAGCAGGCACTTTATGGTGTCATCTTCTAACAATTTAAAGCCCTGTGTTCTCGTGACATGGTACTTAAGAGGGAGACAAAAATATGCAGACTTGCTGCTTGCTATCTGAGATACAGGTCCATAAATGTGATAAATAACAAGTGTCATTTTACAGGTATCTGTTTAATCATTGAAGCAGACTATTATAGTTGGATAAGATCTTAGCAAGCCTATCTATTTTACAGATGAGAAAGCTGAAACCCAAAGAGATTACTGATTTTCTTCGAGTCTCACTGCTAGCTACTGACAGCTAGAACATTTTGGTTCAATTTTTTTCTTTCCTAGGTTCATTTTTTTTTCTTTTTTAGGAAAGTGAATAAACTTAATTGAGAATGTCTGAAAACTTGAACAAATCCAGTATAAATGAAGCAGGAAAATCAAAATCAAATGATTCTGAGCAAGGCCTTGAAGATGCTGCAGAAGGCTCTGATGAAGCTTCACGGGAAAAAATAAAGTCGGGCTCTCCTAGCGCCCAAAGAGTGCAAAGACCTCACTGTAAGCAAATGTGACTTTGGTTGGAAGTGATACTGTCTTATTTTCAGATGATATTTTTATTAGGCTTCCTTGTGCACGTGGCCCTGAGCTAGGTTCTAATAAAATGATTAAATGCTCATTGCCAATAATGAGCATTTAAGAATAGCAACAGCTTCTCAACTTGTGGGTTTTCAATTGCATGAGATATTAAAATTTTAGTATAATGTCCAGAATGTTCCTGTTTTCCTCCAGCTTCAATAACATTCCAATTTCTCTGAAGTACTCTGAGAAATGGAGGTGGGAGAGGGTATAAGGGGGATAAATGGTAATGGGAAAAAACTACAATAAACTTAAAAAAAAAAGAAATAGGAGGGTGGAGTACAATTGCGGATTTAATTAGAAGAGTGTTTGAAAAGTTTGAGGCAGGTTCCAGCCAGGACTGTGCTTGTGCAGGTAAAAAAAAAGGGGGGTTTTCTGAATGGGAGTGACTTCACCACACCCTGAGTTCTTTGCCTCGGGGCTGAGTTCCCACAGGGTGAGGGGATTCAGATTGCTGAATGTATGTGGTAAAGTCACCTCAGATTCCTGGCAGGGAGCAGGTCTCTGAGATGAAAGGGTGGCAGTTTCTGCATGGATTCCAAGCAGTTGCCCCAGTTCATGTCTTTTATTAAGAACACTTAAGCTTTTTGAAGTGAGTCCAAAAAATGAAAGTTTTAAGAGGAAATGTCATAGTCTAAGAATGTCAGTGCTGATATTATCTCTCTAAAGTATAGATGATCAGTAATTCTTCATATTTGGAAGAAGTACAGACATTTTTGTGTTTGAGGTGTGCTTCTTTTAAAATTACCAAAGTCCTTACCCAGGTAATTTATTAATCAACGTAGTATTCTTCTTTGGGTGTGGGGGACACACATGTATGAGCACTTAATGAACTTTGTTCATTTGGCTTTAAGGTATCTGGACACAGGACTCCCCCAACTCCCTTAATTTTCTTTTTTCTTTTTTAAAGGTTTTATGTATTTATTTTTAGAGAGGGAGGGAGGAAAGGAGAAAGAGAGGGAAAGAAACACTGATGTGAGAGAGAAACATCAATTGGCTGCCTCTCTTAGGTGCCAGAACTGGGCCTGAACCTGCAGCTCAGGTGTGTGCGCTGACCAGGGAGCCAACCAGCAACCCTTTGATATGCAGGAGGACGCCCACCCAACTGAGCCACAACAGTCAGGGCCACCCTTAGTTTTCTCTTCAGCCCTTCTGCTGAAGAATTTGTCTTTCATGTTGACAGGCTGCTTTGGGAGCGTTTTCTGCCCCAGAACTCTGTAGTAGCCCGATCACATGGCAACGATGACAGCAGTGGCTGCGGTCTTGTTTTTGGCAGCATTTACCTGTGTCTGCTCACTGACCAAGGTCCACAGTTTATCAAGTGTGACAGTTGGGCAAAAGCTCTGGTTCCTCTTTAGGTGGTAATGCCTTCCAAAGCATCCTGTGTGATATTTGTCAAAGTTGATCCTGTGATGATGCGTGCCACCAGCATTATCTCAGCCTCCCAGGAGCTTCCGGTGCTTGCCAGTAAGGCTGTGGCTGTGGCTCTGGCTCATGTGGCCCTGAAGTTTCTAAGTCTTTCTCAGTCTGGATGCTGTGTCAGTAGCCAAGACAAAAGTTACAGCATTATATAGCAAGCATTAGTGGACCCCAGTTTTATTACTCAGAGGAGTTGGTGTGTTTCTGTTATTTTTGTAAATTTGAGATGATCAGACATCTGGAGATTTTTTCAAAACCAAGGTTAAAACAAACCTTGGAAGCCCTGGTGACAATCTCTGAATTTCTTTTTAAGAGATTAAGAACTCAGAGTTTAGTAACTCCTGATGCTTGATATTGATATACCACAGTGGAAATTCCATTTTCTGACAAATGATAACAGAAAATACTAGCTTGAAGAAATTTAATAGTCATTGTATATATAGTAAATCACTACTGAGTGCCTTCTAATTTTTAATCAACTTCAAAAATCAGAGGTATAATTTTTTAAATCCTTACCCGAGGGTATGTTTATTGACTTTAGAGAGGGAGGGAGGGAGGGAGAGGAGGAGAGAGAAATCAATTGATGTAAGAGAGAAACATTGCCTGCTTGCCTCCTGTGCACACCCCAACCTGATCAAACCCGCAGCCTAAGTATGTGTCCTGACCAGGGTTGAACCTGTAACCTTTTGGTGTATGGGAAGATGCTCCAACCAACGGAGCCATCCGGCTAGGGTGAGGTATAATCTCTATATAATAAAATTTACCGACTTTAAGTGTGCATTTTAATGAGTTTTGACCAGTATATTTACAGTTGTGTCACTCACTGCCATTACAATCTTGTGCTGCTAGAACATTTCCATCACCTCCCAAAATTTTCTTGTCCCTTTATCAGTGAATCTTCCCCTCCTCCCACCATCCTTTGGCAACCACTGATCTGCTTTCTGTCTCTGTAATTTTGCCCATTTTATAATCTAAATGGAATTTATAATATAAATGGAATCATACTGTATGTAGCCTTTTGTATCTGACTCTTTCACTTGGGATAATGCTTTTACGATTCAACCATGTCTTTGCAGATATCAGTAGTTTGTTCATTTTTTTATTGCTGAGGAATAATGCATTGTATGGCTACAGTACGCTTTGTTTATCCATTCTTCAGTTGACAGACATTTGAAGAGTTCTAGATTTTGACTGTTATGAATAAAGCTGCTACTAACATTTGTGTACAAGTCCTCACATGACCATATGTTTTCAGTTTCCTTGGGTGAAGCCCTAGGAGTGGTGTTGCTGGGTCATGTGCAAAGTGTATGGTTTACTTTATAAAAAACCAAGAGACTGTTTTCCAAAGTGACCGTACCATTTGCATCCCCACTGCTTGTGTACGAGAGTTCCAGATGCTCCGCATCTATTTAATACTTAGTATGATCAGTCTCTTCAATATTGGCCATTCTAGCAGGTGTGTAGTAGTATCTCAGTGTGGTTTTAATTTGCATTTCCTAATTATAAAAGAAAAACCCTACAGTTTTCTACCTGTGTGGATACAAACCCAGACCATCCTCTTGTGTTTTTCTCCCATGTGTTACCTTTACTACTCATGCGGAACACTTAACTTCTGATCACTAATGTGTGGGGTTTTATTTCCCCATCAACCAATTCTCAGTGATACCAGCTGGGTATCCTACAGTGCAATTGAATTCTGGCACCGTGTACCTGGAGACAGCATGAGATCTCTTATGTTAAGGCCTCAGTCCCACAAGACTGCCCCCTGCCTTCAGATGTCAGTTGCAAGCTCAGGTTATTACCTGTGCTTCTGACCAACCTGCTGTAGGTTGGAGGTTCCAGCTGTCACTCCTTGGATTCAGTTAATTTAGTTAATTTAAGCATCTCACAGAACTCAGGGAGATACTTATGTTTACCAGTTTATTCAGGGATATGATGAAGGATGCAGATAAACAACGTGATGAAGAGATAGATGCATAGCATGAGGTCTGGCAGAATCCCAAGCTCAGGAGCTTCTGTCCCCCTGGAGTTGGGGTGTATCACTCTCCCCGTATGAATGTGTTGACCAAACTGGAAGCTCTCTGAAACCCATATTATTGGCATTTTATGGAGGCTATGATCAGTTATTAACTCCATTTCCAACCACTCTCCCCTCTCTGGAGGATGAGGGCTGGGGCTGAAATTCCAAACTACCAGTTATGCTTGGTCTTTCTGATGACTAGCCCTCATCCAGGGGCTATCCAGGGGCCCACTCAGAGTCACCTCATTGGAACAAGAGATGCTCCTAGTGTTCTTAGCATTTAAGACATTATAAGAGATTTGTGCCAGGAACCAAGGGGTAGAGACTGACGTGTATATTTTCTGCACACTGTTGAGCACCTTTTCATGAGCCTACTGGCCATTTGTGTATCTGCCCTGGAGAAATGTCTGTTCAGGTCTTCTAACCATTTCTTATTTGTGTTTCACTATATCTTTGAGCTGTAAGACTTCTTTTTATATTATCACTGTAAGTCCTTTAGCAGATCATTTGCAAATATTTCCTCCTATTGGTGGCATGCCATTTCATTTTCTTAATAGAGTAACAGAACAAAAGTTTTGAATTTTGGTAAAGTTTAGTTTATCAGTTTTTTCCTCTTATATTTTGAGCTTTTTGTGCCCTACCTAAGGAATTTTCCCGATGTTTTCTCCTAGAAGTTTTATAGTTTTAGCTCTTATATTTAGGTCTGTGGTCCATTTTGCATTAGTTTTTGTTTATCATGTGAGATATGGCTGAGAGTCCTTTCTTATATATTGCTTTCTAATTGTCCCAGCACCATTTGATTTAAAGAAGCTAATTTTGCCTTATTAACCACGTGTACATTTATGTATGCGTGTGTGTATCAGTCTGTTTCTGGATCTTTTGCTCTCTTCAGTTGATCTGCGTATTTACCCTGGTACCAAGAACGCACTGTATTTAAGTGGTATTGAAATCAGTTAGTGTGAGTCCTCCAACTTAATTCCTTTTTTTCCCTCAAAATAATACTGGCTTTTGTAGGCCTGGTGCATTTTTATATAACTTTTAGAATCAGTTTGGCGATTTTAACAAAATCTTGTTGGGATTTTGACTTGAATTGCATTTAACAATAGATCACTTTGGCAGAAATGGACTTCTTAAATTTCTGTCTTGGCTTTGATTTTGGATACATATTATATTTTTTCAATATTTATGAGGGAAATTTTTATTTATTATTTTTATTAATATTTTCTGGAAATCCTTAGAATTTTTCTTTTCTTCAACTTCCCCTTATGTGACCAAATAAAAATTTTTGCCAGACAGGATATGACCAGCTCTTAGATTTAGTTCCCTTTTTTTTTGATAAGCAAAAGAAAAAAAATGAAAGAGGAAGGAAAATTACTTTTCACTAACCTAAGATATTTGTGACTCTTAAACTCTGTGCAAACCAGTGACATTATCTCAGTTTAAGCCCAGATCCTATCAAATGACTTAAAATTAATATTGTCCTCTTCTAGGCCAGTGCTTTTCAAAGTATGATTTCTGTGACCATCAGATTCTGCATTTCTGTGAGAAATTCAGAATCTCTGGCCTCATGCCAGACCTGCTAAATCAGAAATGCTCAGAGGCGAGCCCAGCAATCTGTTTTCACAAGCATTCCCTACCCCCAATTCTGTTACAGGCTAAAGAACTTTATTTATCATGGACTTTATTTTAAAAACAGCCTTACTGATATACCAAAAGTACATGTATTTATTAAACATGTTTAAAATATAGGAATTACCCAATGTTCCTTGGCTCAGATCACCTGGGGAGATTTGTATGAGACTTTTCTTTCTGGAAGAGAAATCTCAAACTTTTTCAAAGGAAAGAGAGGTATGGAGACCAATTGTGGGACTACTGCAGCAGCTGATACAGAAGTGAAATCTACAGGACTTGGATATCAGGGCAGTGCAAAGGGAGAAATCAGAGCTATCTCAAGGTTTTAATACAGTGTGCCTGCATTCTTCAAAGTACTTGTGGCACACACCCTGTGATTTCCTCATTGTTCAGCTTTAGAACTCACATTCTTTCCTGGTGTCTGTACAGGGTAGTAGCTTTAGCTTTGTATAAACACCTGGGCACCCCGGAGTACTCACTGCTGTTTTAATTTGGGGAAATTCATTCGTAGCACGGTGTTAATGGTTGAGCAGAATGTCAACTGCTCATGGAAGCAAAACAGGAAACCTTGAATCTGGTGTTTCCCTTTTGTCATTTAGGATGGATAGGAGGCAAAGGGATCAGAAAATAAACCCTCAGCTTATTGGGGAATTGGTAGACTATAAAAGTTTTTCTAAGTCTCAGTTTATTGTAATAATTTTCCATTAACTAATCTTAGAAAAAAAATTTAAATAAGACTTTATTTATTTATTGTTAGAGAGAGGAGAGAGGAGGGAGAAAGAGAGGGAGAGAAACATCAGTGTATGAGAGAAACATCAATCAGTCGCCTCTCGCTTGTGCTCTGACCTGGGACCGGACCCACAACCCAGGCTTGTGCCCTGACGGGGAGTGGAACTTGTGACCTTTCGCTTTGAGGGACAATGCCCAACCATTTGAGCTACACCCATTAGGGCGAAAACATTGATTTGAGTGTTGTGAGTGATTTCTGCTTTTAGGACTCTAGATTAAAAGAAAAAAATAATATAGATTTATTGCTTGAAATTGCCAGAATATTTTCATAAATAGGGCTATAACCAAAATTATTAACTGGTACCCAAACCACTTTCTTCTAACTTCAGTAGAAATTATAATCTAGGGAAGCAAGTCTCTTACACTGGGTTCTTGTTACAGCCAGTCCTCCTCGTTTTGTGACAGTAGAAGAACTCCTAGAGACAGCAAAAGGAGTCACTAACATGGTTCTAGCCCATGAAATTGTAGTAAATGGAGACTTCCGGATTAAACCTGTTGAATTACCAGAAGACAGGTAAGATGGTTACTGAGATACTTGTTTAGTAGAATACTGTCATTTCCCAGTTCTGGAAATGTTTTCTTCACTTGATCTTACCATATTCAAATACAACTCTCCTTAGTATGTTGTTGCTAAAAAATATTCCTATACCAAGAATCACTAGAATTTGAAAGTGGATCAAAGGACCACTAATCCTTCAAAATGTAAACAAAACGTATGGAAATCTGTGGGAATCTTTCATGTTAGTTTCTCCCTTTTCCATAGGACTTCACTGCCTCATATGTGTTTTCATCATGTTGTTTCATTCATTCCTTGTAACTGTCACATTGTGCTGCAGTCGTTGGTCTCCTTGTGTTCCCTCCCAGGGTGTGAACCCTGCACAGACAAGGACTGCACGTTACTCTCTGTATCCCTAGCACCTGGCAAATGTCATACCGAGTCTAACTCTCTGTTGACTGTAAGGTGTGCCTTTTAAAGTGTATTGTCACAAGAAAGAAAAAACATTGCCCCTTGTCATTGTGAAAGTGTCGTGGAAGCCATGGGTATTCTCTCACGAAGGGAGGAGGAGTGGCTGCTGAGTTGGCAGGCTCTCCTACGACAGCCTTCTAAATGTGACTTTACAGACACTTCTTGTGTGTTCTGCAAAGATGGTACTTTTTTGCATTAATCATGAAGAATCACTTGTTTTGCTCTCATGGTATAATTACTTGTTTTAATGAGGTGTTATAGTTTGGTATGTCATTAAGCAGTTGTCTCATATATCACATGGGAATAGGATTTTTTGTAGAAAATAAAGTCCTTCAACCTGTATACATGCTGAATTGTTATCTTAAAGTACTTAATCATACAAACCTTAGGAAACTTGATGGTGTCAGGAAACTAAAAATTAACAGCTCTGAGCTTTCCAGTATTCTTTTTATCATACAACACTATTAGATGCTGTTAATTGGATTAATGCTATCTGTCAGATTTGTTGAAAGTTATTCTTTCTAGTGAGGTACTTATTGAGATAAATCATTAACTAAACATAAGGTATGTGATTTATTTAAGAATATCTGGTAAATCTTTCCTTTATCCATATTATTTTGAAAATATCTCACCCTAAATCCATGGAGTTTGTGTTTTTGAACGTGATTTGATAATAGCCAAAAAGTAGATATAATCAAATATCCACCAACATGAGAAATAGATGCATAAAGTACGGTATGTCCACATAATGGAATATATTTAGTCATAAAAAGGATCAAGGCACTAATACATTTACATGGGTGAGATGCTTGAAAGTATTTTGCCTAGTAGAAGAATCCAGACACATAGTCCACATACTGTACAATTCCATTTACATGAAACATCCAGAAAATGGAAATCTATAGAGGCAGACTGTAGATTAATCATTTCCTGGTGCTGGGGCTAGAACTTGGCAGCGACTGGGCACAAGGGGTCTTTTTTTTTAATGATATACAGTCATAATTGCCAGACTTAATATGAGATTTTGAATGTTCAGTACAATTTTTCTTTCTGGATTCATTTTTCTTCCATATTTCTGTCAGTTTTAAAAACATAATGCCAGAAGGAGAGGGGCTCAATTCTAATCACAGCTCCTAAAAGCAAGGTCTTAGGAGTGGGTCTGAAATTGGGATAGACAGTTGCTAACCTTGTGTAGGTCCAACGAGTCAAAGCAGGATTTTTGATGGGCGCTCAGTGGCTGGAGTTGTTGTACCGAAGCAGGTACTCCCTTTTAAGCTGGAGTCTTATGGCCAGTGGCTTGGCTTGTGCCTTCTGGGTTTACAGAAATGTGCTGTATTCAGCTGGGCCGAGGGTAGGGAGCGAGGTGGCCAGGCACGATGGCTTGTACTCAGGGAATGATGTCTTGGGAACTTGGTGCACAATTTGGGCGCAAGGGGTTTTATTGGAGTGATGGAAGGGTTTCGAAGTCAGATTGTGGTGATGGGTGCATAACTTGATAAATTCACTAAATATCTATGAACAGTATGCTTAAAATGGGGAATTTTACAGTATGTAAATCACAGTTCAAGAAAGCTGTTTTTAATTTTAAAGAAAGTGATTTGAGGCTCAACTATTTTATTTTTGCTTTTTTTTTTTTTGCCCCCAGTTTGGAGAAGAGAGTAAAGGAGATTGTACATAAAGCGTTTTGGGATTGCTTGAGTGTCCAGCTCAGTGAAGACCCCCCGACATATGACCATGCCATAAAACTTGTTGGAGAGATCAAAGAGGTAATGCGAAGAACAAACTGTGGTGCTCTTCTGGTGTTAGGAATATTCCGCCTCTCTGTGTGACTGTGCCAGAAGACTAAAGAAATCGAAGGATCGAGTTCAATTACTTGCCAAAATGTGGATTAAGAGTACTTTTGGCTTAACGCCCTTTTTTAAATTTCAGAGAAGCTATGATTATCTGAGGCCTTCCTTTGTACACAAAGAAAAAGTTAGTATTTTAAAAAACAGAATTATTTAAAGAAAATATTTTATGAAATACAGGTGATTTATACAATTTTTAATAGGTGTGGACACATTCCTTTTTTAGTGGCCAGAAAGTGATTCAGCCTGTGGAACAGAGAAGGCGCTAAGTGGCAGACCGGGCTGTTTTTGCAGTACCGTTAGCAGTAGTATCAAAGGAAAGATGTATCCATGGAAATTGGCATCTGTGGGTGGGGCATAGGCTCATGTTAATTCTTGTGCTTTACTTTTCTCACTTTTAGTCACGTTGTATCCAGTTGATTGCTACCTAGAGCTTAAATGAAAATTTAGATAGTCTAAATGATTTGTAGACATGTTTGTTGAATAAGGTTAAAATGTACAGCACTATAGTAATAATTTGTAAGTCCTCATTTGGGTAGATGTAAATTCCTCTCTATATAATCAAAAATATCTGACTAAGAAACCGATTAAACTTGGCTGTGCTCTTTTGCAGACTCTCTTATCTTTCTTGCTGCCTGGTCACAGTAGACTGAGAAACCAGATTACAGAAGTTTTGGATCTGGAGCTGATAAAGCAGGAGGCGGAGAATGGGGCCCTAGACATTTCCAAGCTGGCGGAATTTGTCATTGGTATGATGGGGACACTGTGTGCACCTGCTCGAGATGAGGAAGTTAGGAAACTAAAGGACATTAAGGAAATAGTGCCCCTTTTCAGGTACGAGAATTGTGTGAATCACATTAAGTGCACCTAATACACAGCGTATTTTCAAGCTTAGACTTAAGTATAGATACTCATGCATTTAAAAAAATTAAAAAGCAAACTTTATAAAATACAGAAAAGGTAGAAGGAAAAAATTTACCCACAATTTTACCACCAAAAGGCATAATCATTGTTGTTATGTTGATATATATATTTTTAGTTATTTACCATTAATATATTTTTTAAAAATTCTGAAACTACGGAAGAGTCACCAAAACAGTATAATTAATACTCATATATCCTTAATGTAAATCCACCAGTTTTTAATGTTTTGTCAATTTGCTTTCTTTTTATATATATGTGAGTATGTATGCATGTGTGTATATATTTTTTGCTCCTGCACCTTGTGAAAGGTAACAGCAAATGTTGTGACATTTCATCCTTAAATATTTTAGCAAGTATCTCCTAAAAATGTAGATATTCTCCTACATAATCAGTATACAAACAAGACATTCAATAAATTTAACATTAATATAATCCTATTAACATATTGTCCATAGTAACTTTGATCAATCTTTTGCATGTTTATATTTAAATATATATAGTTATGATTAAATTTATATGATTTTTATGCTAACATGGGCAAAGAATTGACATAGTGTCTGAGAATTTTTTAAAACCATTTTTATTGTATTTTTTCCATTAGTATTTATCCCCTTATACCCTTTTCTACCTTCACTCCCCCCACCACAATCACCACACTATTGTCCCTGTCCATGAGTCCTTTTTCTTTTTTGCTCAATCCTTCCACCCCTCACCCCCCCACCCCGCAGAGCTGTCAGCCTGCTCTCTCTATCTACAAGTCTGTCTCTATTTTGCTTGTTAGTTCAGTTTATTCATTAAATTCCACATAAAAGTGAAATCATAGAGTATTTGTCTCTCTCTGACTGGTTTATTTCACTTAGCGTAGTGTTCTCCAGGTCCATTCATGCTGCCACAAAAGGTAAAATTTTCTTCTTTTTTTAACGGCCAAGTAGAATTCCATTGTGTAAATGTACCATAGTTGTTTTATCCACTAATCTAGTAATGAACACTTGGGCTGCTTTCAAATATAGACTATTGTAAATAACACCACAATGAATGTAGGAGTGCTGATATTCTTACAAATTAATGTATCCTGTCTCTTCAGGTAAATTCCCAAAAGTGGAATTGCTGGGTCATAAGGCAGTTCAATTTTTAATTTTTTGAGCTAACTCCATACTACTTTCCACAGTGGCTACACCAATCTGCATTCCCACCAACAGTGCAAAAGGATTCCCCTTTCTCCATGTCCTCACCAGCACTTGTTTATTGATTTATTGATGATACCTTTCCGACAGGTGTGAGGTGATATCTCATTGTGGTTTTATTTATTTTTTTAAAAGATTTTATTTACTTATTTTAGAGAGAGGGAAAAGGAGTGAGAAAGAGAGGGAGAGATACCAGCAATGTGCAAGAGATACAGTGATCGGTTGCCTCTCACACACCTCCAACTGGGGACCTGGCTGGCAACCAAGGCATATGCCCCTGGGAATTGAACCAGTGACCTTTAGGTGTGCAGGCTGGTGCTCAGTCCACTGAGCCACACCAACCAGAGCTCATGTGGGTTTAATTTGCATTTCTCTGGTGATCAGTGATGTTGAGCATCTTTTCATGTGTTTATTGGCCATCTGTATGTCCTCTTTGGAGAAGGGTCTATTTAGATCCTTGGCCCATTTTATAATTAGATCGGGGTTTTTTTGGGTGGTGTGTTTTAATTCTTAATAAATTTTGGATATTAACCCTTATCATATATATCAGCAAATATTTCTCCCATTCAGTGGGTTGTCTTGTTTTTTTGTTGATGATTTGTTTTGCTGTGCAAAAACTTTTTAGTTTAATGTAGTCCCATTTGTTTGTTTTCTTTTGTTTCCCTTGCTGAGTAGATATATCTGAAAAAAATATTGCTATGAGCAGTGTCGAGATTTTACTGCCTCTGTTTTCTTCTAGGATTTTTATGGTTTTGAGTCTAAAATTTAAGTCTTTGATCCATTTTTTAATGTATTCTTGTGTGTGGCATCAGAAGGTGGTCTAGTTTCATTTTTCTGCATGTATATGTCCAATTTTCCCAACAGCATTTATTGAATAAACCATCTTCAGCCCATTGCATAGGCTTGCTTCCTCTGTCAAATATTAATTGACTATAAAGGCATGGGTTTCTTTCCAGGCTCTCTGTTCTGTTGCATTGATCTATGTGTGTGTTTTTATTCCAGTACCATGCTGTTTTGATTACTATGGCCTTGTAGTACACTTTGATATTAGCACGATTCCTCCAATGTTGTTGTTCTTTCTCATGATTACTGTTACTATTTGGGGCCTTTTGTGGTTCCATATAAATTTTTGAAATACTTGTTGTAGTTCTGTGAAATAGGTCATTGGTATCTTGATAGTAATTGCTTTTAATCTATAGATTGCTTTGGGTAGTATGGACATTTTAATGATGTTAATCCATCCTATCCATGAACATGGTATGTGCTCCCACCTATTTGTATCTTCTTCAACTTCTTTCTTCAGTGTCTTATAATTTTCCAAGTACAGGTCTTTTACCTCTTTGGTTAAATTTATTCCTAGGTATTTTATTCTTTTTGAAGCAACTATGAATGGAATTGTTTTCTTAATTTCCCTTTCTGATAGTTCATTATTGGCATATAAAAATTCATCTGATTTCTGGATATTAATTTTGTATCATGCTACTTTACTGAATTCATTTATCAGTCCTAGTAGTTTCTTGGTGACATCTTTCAGGTTCTCTGTACAGTATCATGTCATCTGCAAATAATGACCGTTTTACTTCTTCCTTTCCAATTTGGATGCATTTTATTTCTTAGTCTTGTCTTATTGCTATGGCTAGGAATTCCAGTGCCATGTTGAATAAGGTGAAAGCAGACATCCCTGTCTTGTTCCATATCTTAATGGGAATGCTTGTATTTCTTGCCTGTTAAGTAAGATGCTGGCAGTAGGTTTGTCATATATGGCCTTTATTATGTTTAGGTATGTTCCCTCTATTCCCACTTTGCTGAGAGTTTTTATCAATGTGCTAGATTTAATCAGATGCTTTTTCTGCATCTGTTGATATGATATGTGATTTTTATCCTTCATTTTGTTCATGTGGTATATCACATTTATTGATTTGCAAATACTGGTGAAGCTATCAGGCCCAGGGCGTTTGTTCTTGGGAGTTTTTTGATTACTGCTTCAGTTTCACTAGGTATGATCTATCTATTCAGTTCTCTGATTCTTCCTGATTTATTTTGGAAGATTTTATGTTTCTAGGAATGTATCCATTTTGTTCAGGTTGTCCAGTTTATTGGCATATCATTGTTTATAATGTTGTTTTAAGTCCTTTGTATTTCTTTGGTGTCAGTTGTTATTTTGCCTTTTTCATTTCTGATTTTATTTATTTGGGCCCTCTCTTTTTTTTTCTTGATGAGCCTTATTAGAGGCTTCTCAATCTTGTTTATCTTTTTAAAGAACTAGCTCTTGGATTCTTTGATCTTTTGTATTTTTTTAGACTCTATTTCATTTATTTCTGCTCTGATCTTTATTATATCCTTCCTTCTCACTTTAGATTTTGTCATTCTTTTTGGAGTTCCTTTAAGGGTAAAGTTTGATTGTTTATGTGAGCTTTATCTTGTTTCTTGAGATAAGTCTGTAATGCTATGACTTTCCCTCTTATCATTACTCTCCCAGTGTCCCACAGATTTGGGATTGTTGTGTTCTCATTTTCACTTCCTTCAAGGTATCTTTTGATTTCTTCCTTGATCTCCTTATTGACCCATTAATTGTTTAATAACAATGTTATCTAGCTTCCATGTCTTTGTGTATTTTTCAGTTTTCTTCTTGTGACTGATTTCGATGCTTGGTATGATTTCAGTCTTCTTAAATTTATTGAGACTTGTTTTGTGTCCTAACATGTGGTCTGCCCTAGAAAATGTTTCATGTGCACTTGAAAAGAATGTATATTTGGCACCTTTGGCATGAAATGCTCTGAAGACATCAAGTAAATCCATTTGCTGTAGTGTGTCATTTAAAGCCACTGTCTGCTTGTTGATTTCCTGTCTGGGAGATCCAGCTGTTGAAGTCAATGGGATGTTAAAAATCCCCTAGTATGACTGTATTTCTATTGATCTTTCCCTTTATGTCCATCAAGATTTGCTTCACATGTTTAAGTGCTCCTATGTTGGGTGCATAAATGTTTACTAGAGTTGTATCCTGTTGTTTGATTGTTCCCTTTATCATTATGTAGAGTCCTTCTTTGTCTCTTATGATAGCTTTGATTTTTAAGTCTTATTTTGTCAGATATAAGTATTGCTCCCCAACTTTTTTTCCTTTCCATTTGCATGAAATATCTTTTTATATTCCTTTACTTTTAGTCTGTGTATCTTTATTTCTAAGGTGGGTCTCTTGGAGACAAAATATATATAGGTCTTTTTTAATATGATTTTATCATATAAAAACCTGTCTAAGTTTGTGTATTTGCCATCAAATTCAAGATACTGAACAGTTTTTCCCTTACCAGGTAGCTCAGTTGATTGGAGCACCATCCTGCACACCAAAAGGCTGTGGGTTCAATCCCTAGGCACATACCTAGGTTGTGGGTTTGATCCCAGGCCACGGTGCATACAAGAGTCAGCCAAACAATATTTCTTTCTCACATCAATGTTTCTCTCTCTCTCCCTTCTCACTTTCTTTCTCTCCATCTCTCTCTCTAAAATCAATGAATATATCCTCAGGTAAGGATTTGAAAAATGAAAAAAAAAAGAGATACTGAATGGTTTCAATGCCACAAGGATCTCCTGCATTGCCCTTTTATAAACAACTTGTTTAAAAAACTCCTGTATGCATTTTCAATGGCTGCAAAATATTATTTCCACATAAAACCTTTTTTTGTTAAAATGGGCAATTAGATTATGTGTAATTATTTACTATTTAACCATGCACTGAACATCTTTCTGCAGAAAACTTATATCTGTATTTTAGGTTATTTCCAAAAAAATGGGTTCTTAAATGGGATGAGTAAGTCAAGTCTGTTCATTGGGTACATTCAGAGAGTAAAACAGCAGTTACACCACCAGAATTAGAATATAAAGCATGCCCTGCAACTAAAGAGACTGGGGGGAGAGGAGAGGAGAAAGGAGAGTTACTTTTCCTTTTCTTAGGAAAGTGAATTAACCTATGTGAAGGAAGCTACCAGGTGGTGAGCTCTTTGACCTTAACCACAGAGTCTGGGGCTCCTTCCTTCCTCTGCAGCTGCCTTGAGGGCTGACCCAAAACCAAGGAATGCATTCTGGTCTAGACAGGCCATTGCAGGGGGAACTGTGTTTGCTTGGGGGCAAGGGGTGGAGGGGTGGGGACAGAGAGCTGCTTAAAAATTTGCAGCCTTTTCAATCTATTATTTAAGCTTATGTGGTTTTTTAATTTGTTTTTCTTAATCTACTTCCTCATGATTTTTCTAGCTTTTCTTGCCACCTTTTCTTAGGTGAAAAGACTGTCTCAGATCAGCTCACCTCTTTTTGTAAAGACAATGTTTACAAGTGTCTAGTTCTAAATCCTTTTATCTTTTTTCTTTTTAGGGCAATTTTTTCTGTGTTAGACCTAATGAAAGTGGACATGGCGAACTTTGCTGTCAGTAGCATTAGGCCACATCTCATGCAGCAGTCAGTTGAATATGAAAGGAAGAAGTTTCAAGAGCTTTTGGAGAAGCAGCCAAGTACGGTTAATGTTTAGTGGTGCTCTTTTGTTGTCTGTGTTTTTGCATTTAGTTGCTGTAGCTTGTTGCATAACAATATTGTTTTCAAAACAAAACTAAAACTTAGTGTGAGAGTGGTCTCATTTGAAGACAGAAGAGCACAAGACATTATTACTTGAAAAGAAAGTTTAATTGACAAGCAAGAGAAATATAAGTAGGATTCAAGAATAGAAATTTGAAGGAATGAAGAAGTCTTAAATAGGTTTTTAATGAAGACACTGGTTTGAGATAAATTGTATGCTTGGCCTTGGTTTTAAAAACATGACAAGGATGACCACCGAATTCACTTTTTAAATTTCACTTTGCTTTTGTTTTATATTCATAAATCTTCCATTTTCAGACCCCAAAAAAGTCTTATTTTTATAACCTCTCAGACAACTGCAGGAAAACAGATGACTGTGGAATCCAAAACTGTGTTGCATTTCTAAGGCGCTTCTTGGGTCTCTACAGTGGCAGCTGTAAATTGGGTAGATTGCAATCTTCAGGCCCAGTTTATATGACTAGTCCCACTTGACCTCTAACTGTGCTGATTGTCAGAGGAAGGTGACAGTCTCGGCATAGGTCGTGTTGTCTGAACAGTTGCTCATCCAGCCCCAGAGAGAGAAGTTCGAGATGGTGCAGGAGCCAGGAAGAGAAGGAAAGGGCAGAGTAGAAGTATCGGCACCGGAGGAAGACTGACTAATGTTTATTACATGCTAGGCTTGTGCCAAGGATGTATGTGCATTAACATATGTAACCCTCACATACTGAGCCTATGGGGTAGGCCCTATTTTTAACCTCATTTTACAGATGTGGACATAGATTTTGAGAGATTTTTGACCAGAATTGATTGACCACACACACAGCTCACTTCCTCAAGCAGTGTTGTACCGCCCCTCAGGAGACACTCGGGGTTGAAATTTGACAGGTTGAAGAGCCTTAGTGCAGGAACCTCGTGTGGGCAGTCCGGGCCCAGCGAAGGACACACTGCTGGAGTGGAAGCGTTACAACAGTCCCCGAGCCGATCAGAGTCTAGAACTTATTACTCACAGTGTAATAAGTACCAAGGTTTCCTAACGCTGGTGGGCTACAGAGAATGCTGTTGGCAGAGGGTTAAAGGAAGAGCAAAGTTCAGAACCAAGAGCTCAGTGTGTTCACTGTGTTGACAGAAGCAGAGGTGTGTCCTCTCGCAGCAACGAACAGTGGACTCCAGCCGTGACCTTAACTGTCACCTGGTTTCAAGGTGGATCCCACTGGCGGAGCTGCATCACATTCCAGGACCTGTCAGAGGAATTTTTTGCTCAGATAATGTGGACAGAAACCTCATTTTCTGTCTTGTGTCCCTCAGGGTCTCTGGTGCATTACTCAGTTTAGAAAAGTAAGGAGAACGTGATGGTGAGTGAGAGACAGCCAGTCCCCCTGACAGTGCTCCAAATGCCGTGCAGTGCACACCAAACATAGGACAGAGCTCACCTCCCGCAAGGCTGATGGGAAAGCAGATTGACATGAGACTGAGGTCTGGACAAGGAAAAGCCAGGGTGGAAGGGAAGAGAGCGAAGGTCTTTTGGACATCTGTAGGTGAAGTCCTGGCTGGGTGCTTTATCTTGACAACCTTGTTCAATCCTCACAACTGACTGGTGTGACGTACATTTCTTTGTTTTAGGAATCTAGTATTCAGACAGATTGTGATTTGCCTAAAATCACTCTGCCAGTAATTAGCGAGACTGTGATTTGGACCAGGTTCTGTTTGATTCCAAAGTCCATACTCTGCACTGTACCACACCTGCAGGATGATCTTACCTCCCCTAGGGTAGTTCCAAGAAGCATCCCTCCCGAGTGTCTTAGTAATGTTCACAGCCTTGTGGTTCACAGATTCCCTGGACTTCGTCACCCAGTGGTTGGAAGAAGCTGCAGAGGACCTTATGAATCAGAGGTATAAAAATGCCCTGCCAGCTGAGGGAGGGGCTGCTGGCTCAGGGGACAGTCTCCTGCCAAATCCCGCTGCCGTCCAGAATTACGCGTACCTGAGGCTTCTGAGATGGGACCACCTCCGGAGACCGTTCCCTGAGGTGAGTGCCCCGGAGTGGCCTAACTGCTCGTTTCTTTGTCAGCTGCTGAACTTTTAAAAAATAATAGTTTTATTATAATATTTCATTATACCACAAAAGTTCCCCTTTTAAATCGTACAGTTCAGTGGTTTTTTTGGTATATTCACAGAGTAATGTGACCGTGACCACTATTTCATTTCAGAACATTCCCATTGCCCCAGAAAGAAACTCTGTGCCCATGAGCAGTCACTACCTATCCCCTGCCCCCAACAACCACTGACGTGCCTGCTCTGGACATTTTAAATAAACGGAGCCGTGCAGAACTGGCCTTTGTGTCACTTTCTTCACGAAAGTATCCTTAGTTATGTTCATCTGTGTCGTAGCATGTGTCAGTATGGTCAGTACGTCATTCCTTTTTTTTTTTAAGATTTTTTAAAATTTATTATTTTATTTTTAGAGAGGGAAGGAAGGGAGAAAGGGAGAGAGAGAAACATCAATGTGCGGTTGCTGGGGGCCGTGGCCTGCAACCCAGGCATGTGCCCTGACTGGGTATCAAACCTGCGACACTTTGGTTCACAGCCCATGCTCAATCCACTGAGCTACGCCAGCCAGGGCCGTCATTCCTTTTTTTAAGTTGCGTTTTCCTCATTGGGTAAAATATGCATTAGAAAATTTATCATTTTCAGGCGAACAGTTCAGGGGCATCAAGCGCGTCCACACTGCCTTGTGGCCCTCGCCACATGTGTTCCTCTTCAGAGCATTTCCATCTTCACAGGTTGAAAGTCTGTGCCCTTTGCCCAGTGGCCCATCCCTCCCTCCCTCCCCCGCCAACCACCATGCTGCTTGGTGTCTCTGCTTTTGGCGGCTCTAGCTACCCCATGTGAGTGAAATCGTATTTGTCCTTTTGTGTCTGGCTTATTTCACTCAGCATAATGTTGTCAGGGTTCATCCACTTTGTGGTGTGTGTCAGCTTTTCTTTTTAAGGTTGTATGACTCTACCACATTTTGTCTCTTTGCTTATCAGTTGGTGGACATTTGGACTGGGTCCACTTCTTGGCTGTTGTGGTTTGTGCAGTTCTGAACATTTGTGCACAAGTTTTTGTGTGGTATGTACGTTTTCATTCTCTTGGGTATGCACCTAGGATTAGTTGCTGGGTCATGTGGTGACTCTTAAAGTTTAGCATTTTGAGGAACTTCCAGGCTGTTTTCCAAAGTAGCTGCTCGTCTTACAGTCCCATCAGCAATGCACACACGGGGCTTCCAACTTGTGCTGCTGAACAACTCTCCTGTTGTTACTCACCTTGATTATAAATAGTAGCAGCAATGTCTCCTTTCAATTTTATCTGAAGAGACTTCTTCCCCTTCCATGCAGAGCAGTGTTCTCTCTTCGTGTGTTTTTCATGGTAAGCACTTTTAGTCGCAGTGGCCCTTTACAGAGATGATTACCACGGGATTTCCCCATTCTGTCTGCGAACAGTGGGTTTGGTGTGTAGATTCCCCTCTCCCTTTTGAGGGCACTCACGCTTCTGATCTCTAGCCTCAGATGCTGCTACTTCTCTAAATAGCCTTATGTCTAAGTTCCTTATTATTTGTTTTCAAGACATTCATTGTTAAGTCTAAGGTTTCGCCTCTTGTATCTGAGTTCTGTGTTTTGAGCCAGAGGAGGCTCTAAAGAGGGTGCTGAATTGGGGGCAGGGGATAGGGGACAGTTGCTCTCTGAATAGTGGCATGTTTTCTCCTGGAGGACCATTCTCAGCCTTAAAAAAAATGGCTGTGAGGAAGATGGTGTTTTCCCTGGGGACAGATGTCTGCTCTCAGAATGGTTTCTTGGAAATCTTTTGCATCCTAAAGTCACCTGCTGCAGAGCATTGGGAAGCATCAAAGCAGGGGCACTGCTGCCTAGCAAAATGAAGTAAAAATAAAAGAGGCTGGTGAGAAGTCGGTTGAAGTGTCTATGTTTAACAGTAGAGTCTCAGTCTTCAAAGATAGTTTTTACTTCTTGAGAAGAATTCTGAGCTAAGACCCCAAATTACTATAGCTTGATTTGGTGTATCAGTTTCTTATACAAGTTTATTTGATTAACCTGTAAAAAATCAGATCACGAGTCCTATCTCCTCAGCCTCTCTATTGCTCTTTCCCTCTACACGGGGGACTTCGCCCTGGTAGGACCCAGGGGTGTCTTTAACACCGGGACAGTCAGGGAGGTTCACTCACTGACTACTTTCCAGGAGGTTTTGGATTATTATATGTCATTCTCACCTTTTCTTTTTATTGTTCATTTCCCTCTTTCCTTATTCACTTACTCAGGTCTTGAGTGCCTCCTTCATGCTAGGTACTGAGGGTGAGTAAGTGTAGGCTCTGCCCTCAAGGACTTTCTCCCCTCCTTTGCCCCATTTCCGGATAGGGCAACTAGCTGACCGGTTTGCCCAGGGCTGCTGTGTGTTTATGGGAAGCGGTGGTGTTCCTGTCCAAAGTCCGTGTGCCTGACACTTGGAAAGGGCAAAACTCAAAACGTCAGAGTCTGTGGTAAGGGAAGGTTTATTGACCCAGAACGTAGCAACTAAGAAGATGGGAGACCTATTCTTCAAATCTATCTTCAGAAAGGACAGAGTTCAGGCTTCTTTTACATCAAGGAAATGGAACACAGGAGGGACTGATTTGGTAAACTCAAGCCACAAGCAGAATTCCTGTCATGTGTAGCGTGTCTGTGTGCCAGACAAAGCTGGGGCTGGGAGCCTGGAGGTCCCGAACCAGGTGGAGTCAGAGAGGGAGCGTTGCACTCCTACAGTGGCGGTGGTGGTGTTCTTGGACTTAGGAATTTCGGTTTTAAACCCGGTTTAGTTCTGGACAGACTGGGGCGAGTAGGCCACCCTCACTCTGTGTCTCATTACCCTTTCCTGTGTAATGATATAACTTCTCTTTATTGAGTGTTGGCTCTGCCAGCCACTTCGTATGCATGTGTTTTTTTGTTGTTGTTTTTTTTTTCCGTCTTTAAAACAGCCCTGTGAAGTAGGAATCCCCATTCTGCATAGGGCTGAGTTGAAAAAAGTTGCGTGAGGTCATGCTGCTATTAAATGAGAGTGTGGATCACACCCAGTCTGTTTCGTGTTCTTCGTGAGTGTGCTCTCCTGCCACCTCTTTAAGGAAGAAGGGGCTCTGAGATGGAGGAACAATCCACACGTGATTCCTCGATGGCTCCAAAATGGCTAGAAACTCCGAGGGAAACTTTGGCTGTGGCCCCACCGCCCTCTGCTGGCCAGCCCAAGTCTACAGCGCAGGTGTGATTTCTATTGTTTTCATTGCAGACAGTTTTGATGGACCAGTCCCGCTTCCAAGAGCTCCAGCTCCAGCTGGAGCAGGTGGCCATCCTGGGGGCCGTGTTGCTGGTCACGTTCAGCATGGCAGCCTCGGGAATTTCCAGCCAGGCCAGCTTTGCTGAGAAACTCAAGATGATCGTGAAGATCCTGCTGACAGATCTGCATCTGCCGTAAGTGGCTAAAAGCTGTGGGGTGGACCTTTAATGGGTGGGTGGGAGGCAGTGGGTGGGCAGGGAGCACACTGGAAGTGGGGTGTCTGAATGTAGAGCAGAATCTAGGGGCCGAGAGGAAGCATTACCCTCCAACTTTCTTTGCCCCCGCAGAACTTACCCAGAGCCATACGGTCAAAGTTAGACTCAACTCGGGTTTGCAAGGCTCTAGGACAGCGTCTTTCAAAGGTTTTTGACCAGGACCCATACTAAAATTTATTTTCTGTTGTATAGCTGAAATAAAAATTTCATGAAGGGAAACTTATCCTAACTGTACTTAACTACACCCTGATATTTCTGTTCTATTCCATTAAAAAATACTGTTTGCTACCCACCAAATAGCTTTCACAACCAATGAACAGTTTGGACAACACAGCCCTAAGGGAAGCACATATAAGAAACAAGCTGTGTTCCCCAGAGTTGTATGTACCGTATTTTGCTGTGTATAATGCTTACTTTTTGCCCAAATTTTTGAGGGAAAAATAAGGATGCACATTATACATGGGTGTAATGATTACTTACCATGGGTATAATAATGCCATGTACAATGCACACACAAATGTGGGTACACATTATACGTGGGAGTGTATTATACACAGCAAAATATGGCACGAGATTCAAGTGTTCTGCCCTTTGCACATCCCTCATGGACATTTTATGCTGGGTGTCAATGGGCTATTTTATCAGCCAGCACCAGTCCACACTTTCGAGGGCAGCTGCTCTAATTGCTCTTGCAGTGAAATCAGATTAGGTGATTTGTGTGGTTTACAGCATATAGAGTATTCTAGAATGGTTCTAAGTAAACAAGGTCTGACAAGGTCCAATTCAAAGGATTCCTCAAGAGGAATGTCCTCAGACATTCTCATCCTTACAAAATGGAGGCATTTTACTGCTGAGTTTGCAAAGCACGCTTGCGTTTGGTGCGTGAGGAGCATGCCCACATGTTGTAACTAGGGGTTCAGGAGTCCTGACTTAGGCCAGGAGGGTGTATGCTGAGCCGAGGCCTAGCCTGAGCCCCTTGTACAGGTGGAACGCCGAGCTGTTGCCTCGGTCCCCCTCCAGTAGAGCTGCGGTCCCCCTCCAGTAGAGCTGCGCTGTCAGAGTTGCTGATGAGAGGGGCCCTGTTTGGTGCTTCCTTAGGAGTCCAGCCCTGCACTGCCATGCTCGCCCTGCAGTCAGGGGTGGTGCCAGCAGTGAGCCCCGGGGCCTGCACAACCTACTGCTTCTCACTAATCCTACTGCTCCAAGAATGTAGACACCGAAACAAGGCAATTAATTGCCTTCTCACAGGCTATGCAGCAGCAGGAGGGCTCCCAGCGGACTCTCGAGAGTAGCCTGGAGGCTCCAGGAACCCCAGATACCAGTTTTCCTAACTTTTAGATTTCAATTTTGTTTATTCTGTTAAAGTAGTTAGTACATTCACATGTTTTGAAAATCAAAAGGGTAAAAGGGTATTGAATGAAAAGTTTCCCACTTCTGCCCCGTAGCTACCAAATTTCTGGTTCCTTATGTATTGTTCCAGAGATAGTCAAGATATTCCTAAGTCAGTTCCAGGCTTGTTTCACCACACAGATGCTAGAAAGAAGCTGGGTTTGGGGTCCTGAAATAGTCTGAGTTCTCCCCTTCCTACTGTCCTTTCTGGGGTTGGGGAGGGAGAGAAAAAGGGAGGGGGAGAGGGCCTAGGGGAGAGAGATAGTCCCTGAATCAGGTGTGCACAGCCTGAGAGGTTAGGGGCGGGGAGGAGAGTCACAAATGTTCCCTTTGATCACATCAGTCCATGAATTGGTTATTGTGATCTTACCAGGGAAGGGCAGGTGTGCACTATGTTTATCTGTTCTTTCTCCCCTGGCCTTTCCTTTTCCTTCTCTGCTCAAGCTCCTTCCACCTCAGGGATGCCCTGACCACCATCGGGGAGAAGGTCTGCCAGGAGGTGAGCAGCCGCCTTTCCCTGTGTGGATTCGCTCCCTTTACCACGGACAAGGAGACCGTGCTCAAGGGCCAGATCCAGGCTGTGGCCAATCCCGATGACCCCATCCGCAGGATCATGGGTATGTTTGGGGGAAGGCAGAAAGCAGGGATCACCAACCACAATGTGATTAGAGGGACACAAAGGTTTGGGCAAGTGAACAGGCAGCCGTCATTGTTCTGAAGGCTCCAACTTTGAAATTGCAGCTTGGTTCAAAAGCCTGCTCCAGCGAACGCTGAGTGATTCGTGGTGTGGTGCGATTTCAGGTTGGAGTAGAAAGCTGGACCACTGATGGGCCTGCTTCTAATGCTATGACTTTTTAAAAAATTATTCTTAAAAGAATAGTTTAAACTTTTTCCTCATATTTATGGGAAAAAAAAGAGTTACATGGATTAGTGTTTTTTAAAAAATTATTTTATCCCAGCCCTACATTGGTCACAATTTCACTTGTGCATCACTCCGGAGCAGCCTCTTGAAGATACTGCCAGGTCCTTGGCTTATCCAGATTAATATCATCGACCTTGGTAGAGATGCAGGAAAGTGCCTTAAACAGACCGCTGGCTAACGAGCTGCTCCTTGTCCTGCCATCCTGGTTGTTTAGTAACAGCCAGTTCTAGGCATGGAGATAAAAACCAGCCCTCAGGTAGGAATGAAACGAGGCTCAGTACTTCTGGGTGACGCTCCCAGCTCTGGGAACCTTAGAAAACCAAACTCACTTCGGAACAGAGATGATCGGACCCCTCTAGTCAGCAGTTTCTCTGTCAGTGTGTTCTGACGGGTGAGTCATTGGCACCCGAGAGGGTTCCCCAGGGCAGGGGGTGGGCAAGTAGTGGGAGAAAGGCCATTCAATATAAATGTCACTATTGCTTTTGTAAGAAAATCTGTAAGAAACATGGCTTACACTAACAGTTTTTTTTTTTGGCTGATGAGGATACACAGGAGAGTGCAGAAGTATTGTAGAAGGGAATGGGCTAAAAAAAGCATTAACCTAAATTATTCCTCAGAGTAGGACAACTTTACAAATGCCCCCAACTCCATGGCCTTCCACTATAGGCATTAAAGCAGGAAGTTCATGGTTTTTTCATATGGGCTCAGTGGGAAAAGACAGATGACAGGCCAACAGTGCTGGAATCTTCTCTTTTCTCTTTTTTCTAAATCCCCACACTAGGATATGATTATGGATTTTAGAGAGAGGAAGCAGTGTGGAGGCGGAGGGGGAGAGAGAGAAACATTGATCAGTTGCTTTCTGTATGCACTCTGACCAGGGTTTGAACCCACAACCTTTGGTGTGTGTGGGATGACGCTCCAACCAACTGAGCCACCCAGCTAGTGCACTCTTTTCTTTTTTGAGTCTGTAGTTTGTTTTATTTTTCACCCCACTTTTTGTATGATCTTCAACCGTGGTTAATGTTGGTCTCAGTGTGTCGCGCTCCTCTGGGAGCAGAACCTGCTAACACTGTAGTCTCCCTTTTCATGTTCATACATTTATTCTTGCTTTTCAAATGAATTGTGAGCTGTCACAGGGGCCAGGTTTCATGCCAAGCACTGAGCTGGATGCTGAGGGGAAAATGATGAATGCGATAAGCCTTCGTTCCTCCTCTCATGAAACTACCCACCTACAGCGGGGGAGGAAACATTACAGATGGCATGAGTGTTTAGAAGTGCAAGGTGCCGTGGGTACCTGATCTAGGGGGTGGTCAGAAAAGCCTTTTCTGAAAAGGTTGTGTTTACGTTAAAAACTGAAGTGTAAGCAGACGTTTGTAAAGTCACCCTGCACAAGAAACAACCAACTGCTTTCTTTTATATCGCAGATTCCCGAATCCTGGCCTTCTTAGAAAGCTGCCTTGCCTCGGGTCATCAGAAGCCACTGCCCACGGTACCTGGGGGACTGGGTCCCGTCCAAAAAGAGCTGGAGGAAGTTGCTATTAAATTCGTTCGCTTGGTCAACTATAACAAGATGGTCTTCAGTCCCTACTATGATGCAGTCCTCAGTAAGATCCTCGTTAGCTCCTAATGTGTGTGCTCCCTACAGCAGCAGTGTTATCTACTCCACTCAGAATACCTGTCCTCAACTATTATCTGGCTTTGGAAAATGGCTGTTTAGCACATTTCTATTTAATAGCATTGATTCCAAAATGAAGAATATTTATTGTGTATCAGTGTTGAAAAGACTTGTTGAAAAATGCACTGAACTCTATTTTGAGGGTTTGTTTTCATGAGTACAAGTTTACAAATCAAAGGAGCTTCTTGTTAACTTGAGTTTCGTAGGTAGCACCCAGCTTTCGAGTGGTTGACTGTCATGCGTCTCCACCCCCCCCCCCCCCACGCTCTGTCACGACTGTGGCTGTCTCCCCTAGGAGGCTGGGACCTGTCTTCTGTTACCTGGGTCATTTTTCTTTCAGACACCCAAGAATGGAAGAGAATAAGCCATGACCTTGTTTAGACTCTTGCCCCTCTGACACAGCCTCCCACGCCGCCTCCTTCCAGGTGTTTTGTGTTAGAAGGGCTGTACATAGTCTTACTGCCAGCCCCCTGCTGCCCCTATTTATTGCTTCTCCCCCACCTGCCTCAGCAGAGCCCCTGAGCCCTTGTGCTCTAGAGCAGAGTTACTTGATTTTTAAAAGCTTATTCTTTTATACAGAATTACTCTTGAGCCTGAACGATAGCAGTTATAATTTAAGGGATCTGGAGAGAGGAGATTCTTTGACTTTTAAGCTTTGAAAGATGAAGAAGAAGAAAATATATATATATAAATATATATTTTAAATATATATTGATGTAATATAAAAGGAAATAAATATCTGGAGTTTTTACTGACAAATTCACTGTGATACGATATACAGATGTATTGATTGCATTAGAGTTCCGGAATTAGATTTAAGTCTTTTCAGATAAAAATAGTATGAACTCATTTATTTCTTTGATAAGGAAATTTCATATAGAAATTTCATATAGAATTTCTATATTTCATATAGAAATCCCTGGGTATTGAGCAGTATTTTTTGAGGAACTTCAGTGTCCAGAATTTGTGATGTAACTTGTGACTGAAAGAGGAGTTTGGGTCTCATAGATGACACTTTCTACTAAAAAAATTAAATGTGTGCATGTGCATGTCAGACAGAGACGTTGTATCAGAGGCAGAGCCATGAGGCTGTTGGAGGATCTCCAGCTGCCAGAACAGCAGGGGATGAAACAATGCAAGGAATCCCTTGACTAAAGGCAGTGAGGATAGAGGTCCAAGACGGCGGCAGAGTGGGTGGAAGCTATACTCACCTCCTCCTGGGACCAAACTGGAATTACAACTGAATTATAGAACAGTCATCCTGAATAAACAACTAAAGACTAGCTGAAGTCTTATACCAAGGATTTATGAAGAATCCACATTGGGACTGGTGGGGAGGGCGGAGACATGAAAAGGGCTGCCCCCACTTCTGCAGGTGGCGGCTGAGGTTCTGGAGGGATATCTCAGCTGCAGGGGTCGGGGGGAGTTCCCCCCTAAGTGTGGGATCTAAACCCCAAGCTGGGCTCCCCAGCCCAGAACACCAGAGCCAGGAAGAGGTGCCCACATAACACCTGGTGTGAAAAGCTGCAGGGTTTCTGTCCGTCAGGGAGAGATGGGAGTCTGCAAGAGAAACAGGCACCCTCTTGAAGGGCCAACACATAAAATTTCCTTTGCAGCCACTCACCCTGGGCTCTGGCAGAGGGATGGCAGAGTCGACTAAAGTTGCGTGAGAAGAGCCTGGGGTTTGTGGCTCTGGGAGGGAGCTGAAAGGACAGCTGCCAGGATCCCTGTGCTGTCATTCCCCACACTGCAAAAGCCATCTTTCTTGGGGGGAACACTCTCCTCCCTGTGACATCGGCCTGGGGGAAAGCAATAGCCCTACCCTTTGAACTCCCTCTCACCCCACCCTGGAGGTTACACCTGCTGAGGAGTACAGCCAGAGACTCTTCCAACAACTGAGCCTAAAAGACAACCATGAGGTGGAGGCAGATCTTGCAGTGCCTTGGGGCTTTTGATGGCCTATCCCCAGGCCCAGTACTGGTAAAAAGCAGCATTGGTGCACAGCTTGGTCCTTCCTGCATGCACCCAGGCCCAGCAGAGGCAGCCATAAACTGTAGATCACTTGTAGCCCCAAACAGATTGCCGAAGGCCAGTCACAGGCAGCGTATTACATTGGCTTGCACCAGAGTCCTTTCTAAGAGATCCAGAACAAACACCTGGTGGCCAGCTTCAGTTGACATTAGAGCAGGATTGGATAAGCTTAGCACACAGCATATCCATTGGGAGACCTTGGCAGGCACCACACCCTATGGAGGTGAATTCTGCTTCCTGTGGCGAGCACAGCAGTCTGCATGTTGAGGTTGGGGTTGAGCCTCACAGTCAGCCAGACTGAGGGTCAATCCCATGCACAAATGGACTAATAGCAATCAAGATTCAATTATGCCTTGGCTGTTGTGGCTCAGTTGGTTGGGCATTGTCCTGCAAGCCAAAAGGTTGCTGGTTTAGTTCCTGGTCAGACCACATGCTTGGGTTGTGGGCTAGGTCCCTGGTCCAGATGCGTGCAAGAGGTGACTGATCAATGTTTCTCTCTTACATGGATGTTCTACTCCCTTTCTTTCTCCCTACCTTCCCCTCTGCTAGAATTAATACAAGAAAATATTTATTTTTTTAAAAAAGTCAGTTTACAACAGGAGGGCCCACATAACCTACACAAGGGACATTCCTGGAGCACCCAGCTCAGGTGATCAAGAAGACTGCACCACTGGGACCCCACAGGACACCTACAGCATAAGGCCTGTCCACAAAGACTGGGAGTCATAGCAGACCTATCTAAGACATAGTAAGAAACATGAAGAGGCAGCCAAAATGGGGAGACAAATAGACCCTAAGTGAAAGAATAGGAAAAATCTCCGAAAAAGAACTAAATGAAATGGAGGCAAGCAATTTATCTGATATAGAATTCAAAATAATGGTTATAAGAATGTTCAACAGCATGAAAAAGGACGTAGAAACCATGAAAAAGGACCAGTCAGAAGTGAAGAACACTCTGGAAGGGACAAACAGGAGGTTGGTTGAAGCAGAGGGTCAACTCAGTGATGCGGAAGACAAGGTAGGAAAAAGCAGTCAGAACAGCAAACAGCAATCAGAACTTTAAAATGAGGTGAGTAACAGCATCATCATAGGGGTACCCAAAAGGCAAAGAGAGAAAGCAAGGTATTGAGGCCCTATTTGAAAAAACAATGACCAAAAGCTTCCCTAACCTCATGAAAGAATAATACGCACAAGTCCAGGAAGCACAGAGAGTCCCAAACAAGATGAACCCAAAGAGGCCCACACCAGGACCCATCATAATTAAAATGGCAAAGGTTACAGACAAAGAACTTGAAAGCCACAAAAGAAAGACAGTTGCCTACAAGGGATCTCCCATAAGACTGTCAGCTGATTTCTCAGCAGAAACACTTCAGGCCAGAAAGGATTGGCATGAAATATTCAAAGTGATGAAAAGCAAGGACCTACAACCGAGACTATACCCAGCAAGGTTATCATTTAGAACTGAAGGAGAAATAAAGAGCCTGCAGACAAGAAAAAGCTAAAAGAGTTCGTTACCACCAAACCAGTGTTACAAAATGTTCAAGGGTCTGTTTGGAGAAGGATAAAGAGAAGAGAATCACTTTACATGTAAATGGCTTAAATGCTGTGATCAAGATATATATAAGATATATAGACCATAAGAGAGATATAGATGTATATAGATATATATAGTCTATAATGACCTACTTCAGAACAAAAGATATACAGAGACTAAGAGTAAAGGGATGGAAAAAGATATTTCATGCAAATGGGAAGGAAAAAGAAGTATCAATACTTACATCTGACAAAATGGACTTTTAATACCAAGGCTACAGTAGGATATAAGGAAGGACACTACGTAATGACAAAGGGAACAATCCAACCAGAGGATATAACCCTAGTAAACATTATGCACCCAACCTAGGAGCACCTACATGTGTAAAGTATATCATGATGGACATAAAGGGAGAGACTGACAGTAATACAGTCATAGTAAGGGATTTTAACACCCCATTTACATCAATGGATAGATCTTCCAGTCACAAAATCCACAAGGAGACAGCTGCCTTAAACGACACACTAGATCACATGGATTTAACTGATATCTTCAGAGCATTTCATCCGAAACCTGCAGAATGTACATTCTTTTCAAGTGCACATGGAACATTTTCTAGGATAAACCACATGTTAGGACAATCAAGTCTCAATATCTTTAGGTAGATTGAAATCATATTAAGTACTTTCTCTGATCATAATGGTATGAAACTAGAAATTAATCACAAGAAAAAAAAAACAAAAACAAAGACAAAAACTAAATAGCATTACTAAACAGTGAATGAGTTAACAATGATGTCAAGGAAGAAATTAAAAGATACCTTGAAACAGGCAGTGAGGGGTGGGGTGGAGTAAGGGACAGGGTTGGGAGTGACCAGAGGAACATTGACTCGGTTTCCAACCTTTTGGCCTCTCTGGGCCACACTGGAAGAAGAGTTGTCTTAGGCCACACATTAAATACATTGTGACACATAATCACCAAAAAATCTCAATGTTTTAAGTACGTTCACAATTTTGTGTTGGGCCGCATTCACAGCCATCCTGGGCTGCACGCAGCCCATGGGCCACAGGTTGGACAACCCTGCCACAGACCGTGTTGTGAAACCAGGCTTCAGAGGAGTGAAGGGTTATATTGTGGGGGAATGTAATTTCTCCAAATACGTGTTACCCATTTTTTGTTTGTTTTTGTTTTGTTTTTTATTGCAGCCAGAGATGTATGCTGCATTATGTGGTCAGAAGCCATATATTCTTAAGAGTTTAGACTCAAGGACAAATCTTCCCTGGTTTTTTTGGAAAGGGACCAAAGTTCAGTAAGTAGAACTTCTAAAGAACAAAATCACGTCTTTTCCAGTGCATTCAGTGAGGTCTCTTCTGGAACTGGCTCTGTAGTTAAGGTTGCTTATGGCCTGGGTGGCACTAGCTTCAAGCCCAAGCACCCAGGGGCGGCGCTCCTTTGCCGGCCTCCGCCTCAGAGTGTTTGAGGTTTTATTCTCCCCCCTCCAAGGGTGAAGGAAGGGAACTCTACCCCACATACACTTCCTGTAGTTATTCTTTCTAAATCTCAACAATTCTTTTTGCCTTCCTTGGTAAGAGTTAACTCACAGGATTTGTTTTCCTTCCTAAGTTCCTAAATTGACAAAGTTTGCTTGAAATCGTGATGCGTATTGTATAGCAGGGAGCTTCACAGCCTCCCATGCCCACCCCACCCCCACCTCACTTTTCACTGATGGAGTTCCTTCTACAAGTGGCAAAAGCCAAGTGTGGACAAGGCAAAGTTCAGAAACACAATGTTTATATTGAATCATTTTGTTGTAGCTCTTTGAAGGTAAGTGAGCTCATTTTGTCCCTGGAATCTCATAGGATTATCACTAAGGGCCAGGACAATTCACTTAGTTCATTGTGTCACTCAGGAAATGTTTCTTAAGCATCTATGTGGAATTCCTCCCTACAGCTCTCCTGCTCCCCCCGAAGACAAAATGTCCTGTGGCATGTAAAGTATCCTTCAGAATTTGAGTGGTTCTATTTACTATATGCAGATCAGATTTGACATGATTTCCTGCCCAACGTGTTTGTGGAAACAGTGTCAGAACCACAATAAGATGTCTTACCGGTTAAATGAAGTAGACAGGTGTGTAAGAACTTCTTCTCTGTGAAGAAAAGTTACTAATAAGTTTGACATATTACTCCTGTAAGCTGCAGCTACTGTCTGACAATTCTAAAGGGGCGATTCAGAAATTCTGTTTTTGTGGCAGTGCTTGCTTTCATTTCTCCAAGCCTTCAAGTGTCTGGAAGTACAGAGGGCTGCTGCCCCCAGTTTTCTTGGTGAATTTCCAGCAATCGTTTGGCCTGCCCTGACTTGTATGTATAACATTTGTACTTCTTAATTTTGGGGCAGCACGGTAGAGTGGAAAGATGGGGGCTGTCAAGAAACCAGTGCTCTGATCCCATTACTATTACATACTAGCTGGGGCTAATCGGGACTCACTCCCAACACCTATAAAGGAAAAGGACTAGACTTGACCTTTAAGCCCCTTTCTAGTTGTGATGTTCTGTGGTACATCTGACTTGAGAAACTTAATAGACTGCAGTAGGATTGTGCACAAAGCTCCCGATTTAGAGGAAGATCTGGATTTGAGTCTTTCCTCTGTTGCCTTCTTACTGGTTTCATGATATTGATTGGCTAGTCAATCTCCCTAGGGCCTCAGTATTTTCGTCTATAAAATGGCAACATTCACTAGCTCACACTTTCTGTGAGCATTAAATTTGATAACGGTTATAAGAATGCTTTGTACGTGGAAAAGGACTATAAATTGCTTTATCAACAACAACAGAGAGCATATAACCCTCTACCTGTAGGTGCACGTCGATTATTGTGAGAGGTCCCACTGTTGGTGCTCAACCTCCTTTTAGGCAAGTCCATTCATAGGCCTGTAGGGAGCTCTTCCTTCCCTGTCCCAGGATGTATTCTCTGTCACCATCTCTCTGCTAGAGCTGCAGTCTTACCTTTTCTTATCGCCAACGTCCACATTCACTCCAGTGATTTCTCCCCATCGCCACCTCTATGTTATTATTTGAATGAATGAATGGACGACAATGGATGGTGGGCTGTGATACTCATTTAAAGGCATTATCTTATTGAAAATATAATCTACCTAAAGAACTACAAAGTGTTTGCAATTGTGAATTTAAACTGGATTTTGTATTATTGAACTATTTCTAATAGGTAGCCTTTCATTCATAGTATTTAGAGAAACTGAAGGGCAAAGCCTTTGAGCCCAATAAGTTATGTTAACCTATTAAATGTTCACAGATAGTTTCAGAAATAGTCCTAGAAAATAAGCATTAGAAACTTTAACAGGCACAATTTTGCTTAAAACTGCCGCTAGTATGAGTTTCTGCTATACCTGATTATATTGCCTTCTTTCTTTCTTTCTTTTTTTTTTTTTTTTATCCTCAGAAAACGGTAGATTCACCACCACACATTATATTGCCTTCTGAACCTAAGAACTAGAGCTGTCTACAGGCCTGGTCTGATGGAGTGTCATTTAGGGTTTTTTTTAAATATATTTTATTGATTATGCTATTACAATTGTCCCATTTCCCCCTTTTTAATCGCCACCCCCCTACATCTCCCTCCCACCTGCATTCCCCCCTCCCCCGCACTTAGTTCATGTCTATGGGTCATACATACAAGTTCTTTGACTTCTCCATATCCTATAATATTCGTAACTTTCCACTGTCTACTTTGTACCTACCAGTTATGCTTCTTACTCCCTGTACCTTCCCCACCATTCTCCCCCCTACCTCTCCCTGCTGATAACCCTCCACGTGATCTCTATTTCTGTGATGCTGTTCCTGTTCTAGTTGTTTGCTTAGTTTGTTTTTGTTTTTCTTTTTGTTTTAGGTGTAGTTGTTAATAATTGTGAGTTTGCTGTCATTTTATTGTACATGCTTTTGATCTTCTTTTTCTTCGATAAGTCCCTTTAACATTTCATACAATAAGGGCTTGGTGATGATGAACTCCTTTAATTTGACCTTATCTGAGAAGCACTTTATCTGCCCTTCCATTCTAAATGAAAGCTTTGCTAGATAGAGCAATCTGGGATGTAGGTCCTTGCCTTTCATGACTTGGAATACTTCTTTCCAGCCCCTTCTTGCCTGTAAGGTCTCTTTTGAGAAATCAGCTGAGAGTCTTATGGGAACTCCTTTGTAGGTAACGGTCTCCTTTTCTCTTGCTGCTTTTAAGATTTTCTCCTTTATTTTAATCTCGGGTAATGTAATTATGATGTGCCTTGGTGTGTTCCCTTTTGGGTCCAACTTCTTTGGGACTCTCTGAGCTTTCTGGACTTCCTGGAGGTCCATTTCCTTTGCCAGAATGGGGAGGTTCTCCTTTATTATTTGTTCAAATAACTTTTCCACTTGTTGTTCTTCCTCTTCTCCTTCTGGTACCCCTATAATTCGGATGTTGGAATGTTTAAAGTTGTCCTGGAGGTTCCTAAGCCTCTCACTTTTTGAATTCTTGTTTCTTCATTCTTTTCTGGTTGGATGTTTATTTCTTCCTTCTGCTCCAAACCATTGATTTGAGTCCCAGTTTCCTTCCTGTCACTGTTGGTTCCCTGTATGTTTTCCTTCATTTCACTCTTCATAGCCTTCACTTTTTCCTCTATTTTGTGGCACTGCCTAACCAATTCTGTGAGTGTTCTGATTACCAGTGTTTTGAACTGTGCCTCTGATAGGTTGACTATCTCTTTGTTGCTTAGTTGTATTTTTTCTGGAGCTTTGATCTGTTCTTTCATTTGGACCATTTTTTGTGTGTGTCAGGGCACCTGTTACATAGTAAGGGGCGGAGCCTCAGGTGTTCAGCAGAGTGGGGCAACCCGTGTGGCTGCATTGTTGAGCTGTACGTGGGGGAGGGGTATGAGAGAGACAATGCCACTTGTTCAGCTCTCTGCTGGCTTTTGGTCACTTCCTCTGCTACCCACAAGCAAATTAGGCCCTTCTGGTGCTGATTCCTGGGTTGGTGAGTTTTGTGTATGTTCTAGGATTCTGTGGGTCTCTCCAATGAACTCTTCTGAGAGGCTGGGAGTTTCTCCCGCTGCCTCAACCCTCACAGGGGTTTTCCATCAGAGGTCTGAGGCTTTATTTCCCAGAGCTAGAACCCTAGGTTGCGTGGTCTATCTCACTCCCTAGTTGTTCCTCCCAGTTTAGCTGCACTCGGATGTGGGACTGCCCGCCCCACAAGGCACCTGCTACCTTGCCGAGTCCTCTTTGCCTGGCTGCCCATCTCTGCGCCTCCTACCGGTATGGAGGAATGTTTCTTCTTTTACTCCTTGGTTGTGGTACTTCCCTACAGTTCAATTTTCTGTCAGTTCTGGTTATTTTTTGTTTTTAAATGTGTCCTTTTTTTGGTTGTGTGAGGAGGCACAGTGTATCTACCTATGCCTCCATCTTGACTGGAAGTTCTGATCTATTCTTTCATTTGGGCCATATTTTTTTGTCTCGGTGCAGCTGTTAGTAGCAAGGGGCGGAGCCTTAGGTGCTCACCAGGGCGGGGCAACCATATCACTGTGTCGTTGTGCTGTATGTGGGAGAGGGGTCTGAGAGAGGACAATGCCACTTGCTCCGCTCTGTGCCAGTTTTCAGTGTCTTACCCCACTTTCCACAAGCAAATTGGGCCCTTCTGGTGTTGATTCCCTGGTGGGTGGGCTTGTGTATGTTCTAGGACCCTGTGGGTTTCTCCAACAAACTCTCCTGTGAGGCTGGGAGTTTCTTCAGGTGCCATAACCCCCACCGATTGTTATAGTCAGAGGTTTTGAGGCTTCATTTCCCTGCGCTGGATCCCTGGGTTGCGGGTCTGTTTCACTCCCCAGTTGTTCCTCCTAGTTTATGCACACGCAAATGTGGGGCCACCTGGTCCACCAGTCGCCACCTTGCCTATTCCTGTCCGCCAACTGCTGCCTTGCCATGCATCCTCTCCACCCCAGCTGCCTGTCTCCGCCCCTCCTACCAGTCTGAATGAATGTTTCTTATTTAACTCCTTGGTTGGTTGTTGGACTTCCATACAGTTCAATTTTTCTGGTTATTTTTTTTTTTAATTTGTTGTTGCCCTTCTTTTGGTTGTGCGAGGAGGCAAAGTGTATCTACCTACACCTCCATTTTGGCTGGAAGTCAGTATCATTCATTTAGGGTTTTGTTTTTTTATTTATTTTATTTTTAGACAGAGATTAAGGGAAGGAGAAAGAGGAGGAGAGAAATATCAGTGTGTGGTTGCCTCTTGTACGCTCCACCACTGGGGACCTGGCCTGCAACCCAGGCATGTGCCCTGACTGGGAATCAAACTGGTGACCCTTGGGTTTGCAGGCTGGCACTCAGTCCACTGAACCACACTAGCCAGGGCTCATTTAGTTTTGAAATCAGATGTGTCTTTAGTTGGTAGCAATAGTCATATTTCACCATTTTTAGATTTGTCTTATCTTAACTAAACATTGAGAACCTTTAAAGTGCAACTTCTGACTTAAAAGCAACCTTAAAACGGAAGTAACACTCTTCTGCCCCCCACCCCCCTCTCATTCACATTGCTCTGCTTTTTAAAGTACTGTTTTTTTGTGCTCGGAGTAGAACTTGGTGAAGGCTGAGACAGAGAAAATTTAGTAAACTGCTGAATTGTTTTCCTTGACTTTTATTCTGAAAACTTGGTAAGCTAACACCTCTGTTGAATATTTAAGATTTTTACTTAAATCAGTAACATGGTACCTGGAGTTTTGTTCTTGGTGTGAATTATCTTTCAAGACTTAAGAGATTTTTATTTTAAAAAATATAATTTTACTTGACAAATGTCAAAGTCAAGGAAGAACTACCAACTTTAATGGTTTATTGGGAATTGAAATGTAAAAAACAACATTTAGGAACATGGTAATTATACTGTTATTGCCGTGTAAATGAATTCTTAGTTTTATCAAGTAAAGGCTGATGATGGAGGGTTATAAAATCACAAAATAAATTTGTAATCATTGACCAAAGTCGAAATGCGGACTAAGTGGTCTGTTTTCTCCTTCTTTTCCAGTGGTACAATTTGGTTATTCCGTTTTATACTCACCAGGTAGCTGTGGTAACATAGCTGTAATTTCTTGTTTGAAATGTACTGCCATAGGACAGTTTAATTTTTCATAAAGGACTTACAGTCCTTAAATTTTATGCAGTTCTAGAATTGTAGGGATATTGTCATTGTTTTTATAAAAAGGAAAAATATGGATTTGGGGGGGCAATTTCTCTGGGTCCAGCAATACAGATACCTGAGGGAACTTAGGCGTGTGAGACTGGCTGTGCCATGGAGAGTTTGCACTTTAGTTTCCAAAAGTAAGCCCAGATTTCTTTTTTTTTTAAAATATTTTATTTATTTTTATTTTCAGAGAGGGAAGGGAGGGAGAAAGAGAGAGAGAAACATCAATGTGCAGTTGCTGGGGATCATGGCCTGCAACCCAGGCATGTGCCCTGACTGGGAATCGAACCTGCGACACTTTGGTTCGCAGCCCGCGCTCAATCTAGTGAGCTACGTCAGCCAGGGCAAGCCCAGATTTCTAACTCGCTACTGTTCAGCTGTGTTCACAACAGGAATTGTCAAATATTCAGACAGAATCATATTAAAAACTAAAAATTCATATATGTCTGTAGCAGTTAAAACATTAGACAATGTTTTCTTCTAACAAGAAATAATCCCTTTTATGTTTAAAGGTCAATAATTTCTAGGGGAAAATACCTTAGAAACAAATGCAGTAGAATCAACTATGATACACAAAGTACTTCGTGGCACTTCTCACCTAGGTGGTAGAGGGGGGTTTTCTCTGTACTGCAAATGCTAAAAGGAAAAACATGCTCATGCACATTTGTGTCACTGTTTTGTCACTCATGGGAACACTATTGTAGACAAGTATAGGTACTTGAAACCATTTTGTTTTCTTCAAAACACTGTCCAAAGAGGGCCCTTCAGGCAAGATTCCCTACCTCTGTAATCTATTTTCAGATCTATGCTATATGGGACACCTGTGCCATTCGGATTGCTTGGTTGATAACCATGAACTTGAGGATGACAAAATCTGAATGAAAGCCAGCTGACTGTTTTGAGGCAGTTTTAGCTTTAATGGGAAAAAAACAGTAGACACACGCTTGTGATCAACTATGTAAATATAACCTTACTACATGTGTTTATATGAGTGACTCAGTAACCTTCACTCCACTTTGTTTTATATAAATATTTGAATATGAATTTAAATTGTAAGATTAATATTTAATCACATTTGAAGTCAAATTCTAAATTGTGTATCCAGTAGGTAAGATAGTTTCATTATAGCCATACTTTTCTCATTTTTTCCTGATTTTTTTTTGCTTTTATGCTGAATCACAACCTTTAGTCTCACCTAATTTTCTGTATAGATTTTCTAGAAATAAGTCAAGAGGAGGAAATATAATTAACAAAGGGCAAAACCTAATGCTTTGGACTTATTTGCATGATAAGTTTGTACACCCTGTAATTGAATTTGGTTAATTAGTTGTAGTTTTCTTCAGTGCAATCTATGAAAAACATGTTTCTGAGTACGGAGCACCTTCTGAAATATAGTTATGTTTGAACAAGACAATGGGTGGTAAAAAGAATTCCCACAAATTGTTTTTGAGAGAGATGATGATAAAATATCTCAATCTGCCTCAGGTTAATTGGGGGAAGTGCATTGAGTTTTTCTAAAATGTTCCATTTGTTCCTTAAAAATGGATCCCTCATGTTTTCAGTGAGTACCAAGAAAGATCAGGGAGGACGAAGTTAAACACAGTAGGTA